TGAGAGTAAGTACAATATTATATTTATTTTTATAAATTTTAAATTTTACTAATTTTTTATTTTTTATTAGATTATGGTAATTACCAATTCTGATCTTTTAATTATAATAGAAGAAGTTATAATGGTGTAATTAATGCTATAGAAGATATTGATTTTTGGAAAAAACTTACAATATTTTATGAATTATTAAGGTCTTATGATCATATTATTATGATTATAGAATCTGAACAAGTTACTCTTGGACAAGTTGCAACAACATAAGCATTGTCACTGGGAATAATCTTCTCTTATTACTTCATGTAATTTGTCTAAGTTCCTTTATTGTGGTAAGTAACTATCTTATTATTGGACTTTACAACCTTAGGGAATCTCACGTTCTACAGGTATCTGAAATTCCTTGGAATTACTTCACTTGGTTTACAAACTTAAGGGTTTAGGAACTTAGGAAATTTAGAGAATTTATTTATTCTAAATGACAAACTCAATCGCAAGTTAGTGTAGTGGTTCACGATCAAATTCTAAATGATAGACACATAAAAAGGAAAAGTAATTATTTTAAAAGTTTGTTCCTTTATTTATTACTTAAAACTCACAAGTATTTTTGTACTTACAAGAGAGTTAATTTATAACATGAGCAAAAAGCTATTCTATTTATACAAAATTAATTTGTTACAGCTAACTAATTACTACACTATAGACTAACTAAATTTGTAACTACAAGTGTTAATATAATAATAATAATGATTATAAGAAGAATAATAATTATAAAGATAATAAAAAATAAAAATAAGAAGAATAACGATAATAATTAAATAATAGAAATAAAGGAATTAGGAAAATCTAACGAATCATAATAATCTGAAGAATCCAGTAAATCCTAAGAATTCTACGAATCCCCAGAATCCTGTGGATCCTAAAAATCATTAAAATCCAGAATTATGCAGATCTTCTAATTTGTAATTGACATAAAATTAATTCCAGTAACTTCTGTAGATCATTTAATAATTCTTTGTAGATCAACTTTTCAATAGTGAATTTTTAGCCGGTAACAGCATAGTTAAGAGAAATTATTAACAAATTACCTTCTAATAAAAGTGAATTTAAAACTCTAATGATTAGTGAAATTGATAATTGATAGAAGAAAATTTACAATCTGATTTTTATTATTACCTGGATTTTGCATCCATATCATCAAGGAAAAGGAATCAAATTGATTAAATTATTACAAATTCAAGAGGATGCTTATTCTTTATTTTGTATATTATATCTAGATAAAGATAATAATGCATTTATAGATAAATGATTAAATTATCAAAATAAGGAAGGTATTTTCAAAGCAGAATCTTTAAATAGTTCAAAACTTACCAAGAATCCATTGAGATATTGGCAAACTGTTTTACTTCATGCACAAAATTTAGCTGAATTTACTTATAGACTCTTTTCAATTCCACCAAATTCAGCAACTTCAGAAAGGATATGGTCTCTTATGGGTAATATACATACTGAACGACATAATCGTTTATCATCAAAAAAAACTGTTAAAATAGCACAAATAACATGGTATATAAAAGAGCAATTATTTGCAAAAAAACTCAAGATTCTTTAGATTCTTTAAAGATTTATAATGAATTAAATAATACAGATGATGATGATATATCAAATGGAGATGAAATAAATGTAGATGAAATGATAGATGATTTAGAATAAAATATCAGCAAGAATAATTGATGATATTAATATGTTTGATTCTAATAATAATGATAATTTGCAACCTCCTACTTTGCTTGAACTTATTGACTCACAAATAATTAAAATAGCATTGATTCAAGAAATTAATTCTATATAAATACTTATAAATAACTTGATTAATGATAATAAAATATATTACCATATGATTTATTAAAAATTGACCAATCAGAATTTTTAATATTAATAATTTAATTATTAACTTAATAAGTAATTATTAATTAGAAAAGATCAAATAATTTCTAAGTCCTATCACTAGATATAATTATTACAGTTCCAAGAATTGAGTGTTTAACTACATTCTTTCAACTATTGTATGCAACTGTAAGACCGATTTTTTCTGATTGTGCAATTGATTCAAGTTATATTTTAATATCTTTTGCTGTATTTTCTAAAATTTTTTCAGCTAAATTTTTTCTTGATGGTAAAGGTAATGCTGAATTAACAAAATGAATCATTTCTTGGGCTTCAGCATTTTCTACCCACCTAAATGGCCAACTACAAGACATAGTAGCTCTTAATACAAGATTATACCAATGCTTAGTACTTTCAGTAGTAAGTTGTCAAGGCATATAAAAAAGAACACTATTATTACTTGGTTGAGTATCAGTAAAACTAGGTTGTATAGATTGTGTAGATGAAAATGCAAAAGAATAGTTTGTTGAATTAATGCTTGGTTCTATAGAAACTAATGATGTGACATCTTGATTTTCATCATAATCTTCTCTTAAATGTTTTTTACCATGTCGTGCTTTTTCTAACCATTTTTGACAATTATCTTCTTATTCTTAAAAAATACTAGAATATATAAAAGCCCATCCTTCTTTATTAAATTGAGCCTTAAATTGTGAATAATCTCTTAAATGAATTCAACATTTTTCTCTCTTATTATTTATTTCTTCAATTATTAATGATGAATCATTAGTATTAAAACAAGCTAAACATTTAGCGGTCTTATATGTTTTATTATATTTTTTATCTGAAATATAGAAGTAACTGGTTCATTTATGTGGTGGTTTACCATCATATGATTTTTTTGACATTATTAAATGTTTAAAATAGAATATAGAAATAAAAAGAAAAATAAAAAAATTGTTTTTTTGAAAAAAAAATTGAAATTGTGAGTAACATGATTGATAATTAATTTTAGTAAATCAAGCGAAAAATCAAAGAGTAGGTAACTTAAAACGGCGTTTAAACTTTTAGAAGAAAAAGAAGAGACTAAAAAAGCAAAGGGAAAAAAATAGAGGCAAAAGGATCAAAAAATCAATAAAATATAAATACAAATGTACAAATACTAAATTAATCCCGATATTACATATTTTTTAAATAACAAAAATACAAAAAGAACTTTTTGAAAATTAATATTAAGAGGAATAATAATTTTCTATATTATTATATGAGTTTGTATTTTTTTTTCTCCTTTGATAATAAATGAAAAAAAGTTAAAATATTTTCCTTTCTTTTAAATTTTATAAATGGAAAAAAAGTAATTAAAAAAAAACTATTTTTCTTTTTTAAAAAAATTTTTTTTCCGAAGAGAAAGAAATGCAATAGACAAAAAAAACTGATTACGAAAAAAAAAACTTTATTTAATTAAGTGTGACAAAACTTTATTGATAGAAAATCGCTGTTGGATAATAAACTTCAATAAACTCCAATAAGCAATCAGCCAAATTAAAGTTTATTAGTATCTATTGCATAAGTAGCCAGTTACTACGTCTCAATAGCCAATAATTTAAATAAACTATCACTGGCTTATATTATTATTAGCTATTGATTATTGAGGTTCAATAAACTCGTAGCCAGACCAACCTTGACTCCTAATATATACGAAAATCCAATTTCTGTCGAAGAATATTTACAATGTGAAAAAGATAAAACAACTTATCAGATGATAATAGATGAGAAAATTATAGAATTAATGAAAGAACCAGAAGAAAAACCAAATAATGGAGAACCAGAAATTCCTAATATTAGTAATTATGAAGCATTAGTAGCATTTAACAAAATAATTATTTATGCAGAACAAAAATCCAATAAAATTAATTTTTCAAAAAATCAAATTCGTGCAATAAAAAAGTTACGTAAAGTTGTAGAATAAGAAGAATTCCATTTTAAACAGCAAGTTACCTTAGATTCATATTTGAGAAATGACATAATTAATAAAAAATAAAATATATTTAATAGTTATAATAAAAAAAGAATTTAATAATCTTTTTTTTTTGCAAGTTACGTTAAAATTATATAATAAAAATGTTAAGTAAACTGGTTTTAAACTTGATAATTAGTTCAGCTAAATTTTTAGCTGCAGTTTCAACTATATTATATAATTATTTAATAAATTTCTATAGGAATTAATTAGTGTTAAACCACAAATTACTTAGGGTTGAACCTAGGATTAATCAGTGTTAAATCAATGGTGATTAATTCGTTAATTCAATTTATGTAATTTCTGTAATTCAAATTTGAAATTGCAATTGTAAAACTATAAAAACTGCACAAATTTTAAAATTGTAAAAATTTCAATTGCAAAAACTGTAAATTTTGAAATTGCTAAAAAATTAGATCATTTCTTTGATTGTTGCATAAAATTAAATACTTTACCAACTTATTAAACTAATTAAATGCTGACATATTTTGATAAAATTTTATATAAGAAAAGTTTTATTGCAGTTTTATTTCTTTAATTGTTCAATATTTACATTAATAATTTTTAAATCTTTTTAATATAACAAATTCCAAAAATACCTACTACAATTGAATGATCAGATGATGAAATGCAATACTTGATCGATTTAAGAAGGAAAAGAAATGAAGATTACTGGAGAAGATTTAGAAGATCGAAGCTACTTTTTTGGAATGAGATTGTGACACAGATTTAGAAAAGATTTATGATAGCATTTAATGGATTACAAGCAAGGGAAAAATTTAAAGGAATGGTCAAAGATTGTAAAGTAAATAAATTACTAGTAAATAAAGAATAAAAATATTATATTAATTGTATTTTACAATAATAATTTAATAATTTTAATTCTT